CTGCTCCAGTCTGTCCCAGGTAAATTTAGGCCCCTAGTAATGTGAAGTGTGCTGTCAAGTCTTTCAAGCTCACTTAAACCTTCCCCTGGACAGAACCCCTTTGCCTGTGCTATGGAGCATGTTGCGGGGGGGGGGGGGGGTTGAGTATGGGAAACCGGCTCTTATTGAATGTCTCCCAGATCCTCCCTGCAGAGCAGCTGTGTCAGGGGTTAGAGGGGGGCATGGGGGAGAATTTTCTATTCCTTCCCGGTATGGATCTTCCATAGCCCAGAATCAGGAAGGATGGAATCTGCTAACGTTCACCAGCAGCAGAATGTACACAGAATAGCTCTTCTGTCCCCAGAAAGCTGGGACAGATATAAGCTGCCATTTTGATGCCAAGCCCACCAGAGCTGGTCTCTTGCAACACAGTTGTGTGGGAAAGGGGACTTACACTATTAAGAGGAGCTGTCCTGCCCTGATTCTCCTTATATTGCAGAATTTGGAGTCATACAATGACTAATCAGCAGCCATCTCCCATTTGTTATAAGCCTTCTGTGGAACACCGGTGTGGAAAATGGGATCTACCAAACAGGGATATATTTAATCTTACACCCAAGCTGTGTATCTCCCAGTTAGGTTTTGTGGTGTCTCCTTTGGCAGCTTCACATAACTTTCAAATTTATTTTTTTGCGGCTCTTAGTATAAATGGATCTTCTTTTATTGTTTGCCAATTGATTAAGTGTTCAGGAAAGCTAATTTTCAGTGTACTTCTTTGGATTTTCAAAATACTGAAATCAAGTCATTTGCAAATAGTATTTTGATCTCTATCCAAGTTTTTCATTTTGTTTTCTTATCTTTTTACATTAGCAGAAACTTATGAAGTAATTGATGATAGCAGGGACCTCAACTGAAAGAAGCAATTTCAGTCACAACCCCAAACATTAGCTTCACTTTTGGTTAAAGGACTCTGAAATATTAAGGAAGAATTCTTCTAACATACTAAAAATGACTTTACTAGGAATGAGTATTTTTTTAGTAAGTACGTTCTTTACATTAACTAAAATCACAATTTTTGAAATTGATGTACTTAATTAACATTCTTTCTACACTATTTACTCAAATATTTGCACTATCACAATAATGGTATGTACTTTTCAAAGAAAGATTTTTAAATTTGGGGCACTTATTAACAGAAGCTCAAAAGACAGAACTAAAAAAAATAATAATTCAAAGAAGACTTTGTCAAACACCTCTTCCAAGATACTACTTCTCAATTATCCAATTAAGAGCATACTTAAATCAATGAACACCAAAATCAACCAAATAGATCCTATTTCAACTCTGCATTATAGGAAAGTTTCTCTGCTACTGCTACATTCTCAACTAGCAACAAATAATGTCCTGAAAATTCCTCCAGCAAATTTCACTAGATAAGATCCTCAATGGAGTCAAGGCACTTTGTTGAAAACAAAAATCCTAACAAATTGCTATGCAGTGAAAAGGGGACATATCCCAACTTAAATAAGCAGATGTCAATAGTGGGGGAAAAAATCAGTAAATTAGCATATGTATGGAATTAATATTGTTTTCACCTCACCTCCATTCTCCCCCATGCCAAGACCTCTTATTACTTTTCCTAACACCTATTTCAAATCATTTAAAGAACTAGTATCTATTTCTCATCTAACCTGAACAGAAATTCCCACAGCACCTGTTTCACTTTTAATCCCTCCATAAGATGCATTATCCTTTGCACACAAATGACCCATCTACTTGACCCACTAATCCTTTTCATTACATTTACATTCTCTTCACTTTTAAACACATCTACACTGGTAACTTACATGCCTATTTTAGTTTTTATACCTTGTTTTATACAGCTGTTATACATCACAAAAAAACACTTTATCAAACTTGTTTTTAATTTAAAAAATCCCATTCTAAGAGACGACCTTTGAGAGAACTAAACCAAGGGTTAGTAAACAATGTGTTGGGCCAAATTCAGCCCATGGCTCATTTCTTTAAATGAAGTTTTATTAGAACATATGCATACTCATTGATTTATGTACTGTCTAGGGCTGCTTCTGCATTATGACAAAATTAAGATGTTATGAGAGACTAAATGGCCTAGTAAGCCTAAGTTATTTACTAACTTAACTTACTCTTTACTGATAAACTTTACTGACCCCTTAACAAAATTACAATTTTTCATTAAAAAATATATGTATTACATTTCAATCTACTGAGTGCTTAGTAAGACAGAAAGGTTAACTTTTTTAAAATTATTTTTTTTTAATTGAAAGCCAAATAGAGGCCCATTTCCAATGGAGATGGACAAATATGAAAAAATGAAAACACATTCCTGACCAAGAAGTTTGATTGCAAAAATAAAACTCTTCCAGTTGTAGTACCAACCTCAAACTACTGCATACTCATATTTTAGAGAACCATCTTTAAATCGGTTTCAGCCAGGAGGAAAAAAAGGATGGAGGGTTTTGGTTCTGGATTTTTCACTATGGCAATAAAGAGGCTCCAAAGCAGGTTTGCCTTCTTTAGAATAACCTAACAAACCAGAAAAGGTACTAACCAGAGTACCTGGGGCATGAAGCTTTTTAAAATGGCTTTTAAAACTTTAAGGCAAAAGGTATGTATCACAACATTAAATATATTTTTACTGGTATGGCTATTCTGAAATGTATTTTTATAATGCTGCAAACATTGGCAAGATTGCTGCTTCTCTCTCTTCTCTATTCGTGGAAGGCAAGGGATTATAATAAATCTACCCATCAAAACAGAGCATTTCAATTTTATTGCTGTTAGGGTACTAAAGAGCATTAACCTATGACTTTCCTTATCAGCATAACTACAATAACTTCATGATAAATGTTACCCTTCTCAAAATTTCAAAATTTTACCTATGATTTTGGGGGGAAAAAACCCACACTTTACATAGTTCCCTAGCATTTAAAGAAAAAACATCTTTGAAATATAAATATTTCCCATTAGAATAAAATTCCCGTTTGATTTTAGTACAGTAAAAAAATTACTGTGTAAACACAAACTTAAGATAAATTTAATTGAAGAAAAGGTTCATTACAGAAATTAACATTGCTTACCATTCTTTAAACACCTTATACATTATTAATATATACTGTATATTTCCAATCAACTCCATTCTCTTAGGCTCAATTTAAGAAACACAATTGTAACAGGTTTTATACAAAAAATACTTCACTAGGAAAGTAGACAAACTGCACAAAAAAGTATACGTATAATGTGCATAGCAAGATAGCTTGAAGCATCTATGTATGGCTTTCTTTAAAATAAAACTTTTGGGGGAATGGGCCCATTTGGGACCTACTGTTACAGTTGACATATGTAAACTGTTTCACATCTTTTAGGCACTTGCTAACAATAGTGTTCAATCCCTGAAAAATGAATTTACCCAAAAAAAAAAAAATTCTACATCTAAAATAAAAACCAAGAAAATAACATGGGTAAAGTCTTACATATTCCTTTTAAATTAAACAACCAGTTTTATTAGTGCATGCACAGAACTAAATTGAAAGAAAATAAACTTTTTATGTCAAAAATCTTCTGTGCAAAATTTACATAACAAACTGAAAGGTACAAAAATATGTACAGGTTTAAATTCTTTCTTATATACAGAAAAGAAGCCCTGAAGTTTTCAATGAAAATGTTTTAACACTTGTAGTAACAATGTAACAAAAATTATACAGTAATTTGTAATACAAGAACTCCATTATCCAATAATCCAACAAAATTTGATCCAAACTTACACGGTGAAGTTTCAGTCAATTCTGTTGTCATCATGAAAATACCCATTTTAAAACTCTACCTGCTGGGTATATCCCCTAGGAATCAGTCCTGAAAGTTTTATGCCCTGCCACTGAGTCCACTACTAATGCTTCTTCATTTCAACTGCCAACAATCAGTAAAATAATCTGCTTTGGGTTGTCAGTGAGACTGAAAAGGTGCTAACAAAAATGGTTTGTCCCAATGTGTACATGGTCAGACACCTAATAGTAATTAAACAGCAAAAATCTGATTTGCTTTGCTAATCTTGCTTCAAAATATTGTTCCTATAGAGTGATTCTTAATTTTCAAAAAAAAAAGACATTCCCATGGAAGTGCTTCTATGTTCCACTTTTCAAATGGATGGAAACCAAGATAAATATTGGCCATTTGATTTATGGGGTACTAACAATTTAATGAGCATAGTTCTGTGCAAGAGAATCACTGGAGATTATCATCAAATTCAGAAAAATGTTCAAGTTCTTTAATCAGACTTTAAACTGGACCAAGAGAGTTTAATTCTTCTTTTGAGGCTGCCCATCTACTGCAATGCTTGACATAGCCATCTAGTAAAAAATCACCTTGGGAAGGTATTCCAATTCCTGATATGGGACATAGCGTAAGAGAAAAAAAATTTACTTGTGAAAAACTCTTTTTCAAGCATCATGAGGTGCAACTGTAGTTAAATGTACTCTCAGAGAAGCCTAACACCCTTCAAATAACTATATTTAGCAGATGTAAAGTTAAGTTCTTTACTCAAGCTCTTAGTGTATCTTCACAAATGAGAAACTCCTTCAGCTCCATGGTGAAAGAGCTCTCCATCTTCAGAGGAGCTACACTTACCAGATCATAAGGCTGGTGGAAGAAGAGAGGGAATGGAGTTGTCAGCCGTTACCCTCTACTAAGAGTCACTATATAACTAAATTGGGAAAACTTTTATCAAAATTTTCTTTAGCCCTAACTTCCCAAGAACACATTTTAAAAAATTAAATGATACATCTGTGCTGCAATTAGTTTCTTGCAAAACTTATGTGTGCAGTGATAGCATTTTCAAGTATCACACATAAAACTTTTTTTGTCTCCCATGGAAATATAGCCAACATTCAGATGTTCAATTTTAGGTACTATACTGAAGTAGAAAACGTCTGCCTTAAGGTAATCCAACCCATGTTTTCTTCTAAGATAATTTTACATTTCTTTTCCTTGGTAACTACAGTACATTATTCTAACATATTCCAATCACGAGTCGCCTCCATCAAATGTCTCTGCCCATGACCAGCCCAAGCATCCTGATTGTCAAATACTCTACCACAAAACCAACAGTTAAATTTAGCTTTCAGGACATTTTCAGAGGTAGTTTTCACAATCTGGTAATTGTTTTTGCTTGTCTTTTTGAGTGTTAATTTTAGCACAAATCTTTCTTTCACAGAACTAACAGGTTTCAATGTTTTATGTCTTTTGGAAAAATCACCATAAATTGTTTTGGGAGCATTATCACAAACTGGCTTCAGTAAAGCACTGATAGTTCTTTTTGACAATGAAACCTTAAGTACACGTCCATTAAACTTAGCAATAGTTTTCATTACACTTACTACTTCTGGTGCATCTGCATCAGGATGATTCAAAACTACAACTGGTTGGTTTCTCCTAGGACATTTCACAAGCTGTTTGGAACTAAAGGGGAAAAGCCGCAAAGTTCTGACTGAATCTTTTGAAAGCCTTGGTCTGCTAAAATCAAACGATTCACGGGCATCTTCAGGTTTAGACTTTTCTTTACACTTTCTATGTAATGTTGCTTTTTTTCTTGGAGGTTCTTCGTAACTATCCCTACACTTTCGTTTACAGTTTCTGTTTCTAGATACAAAGGCAGTTTCAGAATCTTTACTTCTTACATGAGTTTTAATTCTTGAAAAATTTTTTTTCGAAGTCTTTTTTCTATTGAAGCTTCTCTCAATTGTACAATTTGTTTTACACCTTAATACCCTGGTGTCTGAACGGTCAGTGAAACACACTGGTTCCTCAGAAGATTCTGGGCATGTTGCAGTAGAAGTTATCACAATTTCATTTGCTGGCATCATATCATCTAGTAAGAAGGGTAAGGCATCTCTAGAAGATTCTGGCTCTCTCTGCTCTCCTCCTGTAGTCTGATTAGATGGTACCTTGTCTTTCTGCAATGAGGATGCAGAGGTGCTTACAGACAGATTGTTAGCAGCAGTCACATTTAAAACAGGGTTAAAAATTTTCAGCAGTATTTTTTGTGGTGTTCCTTCAGGTTTCTTTGGCTGTATGTTTTGATAATACGTACTATTTTGGACTAATTTAGGCTTAAGCAGCTCAGTCTTATTTGGCATCACACACTTTAAAAAAACAGCTTGTTTGCCATCAGGCAAGAGGGTATAAAGAGGTGGTTTTGGAAAAATCTCATTCTGCTGTTTTACTGAGTCCAAGTTATTCAACTTGGTGCCCTGATGCTCAGATACTGTATTAGGAGTAGGAACAGCTTTCACTGAAGAATTTGCTGATGTTTTGATAATGTAAGGGCCTTTTAATGGCAAAGTATTTTCTGAACTACTTTTCATGCTCAAACAACTGCCAATGCTGGAACAAAGTGCAGGTGTCAGACAATTACTGTTTGGTTCTACCTTTAAAAAAGGTGTTCTGCAGGGCTCCTTAGCTGTAGTTCCACAAGCCTGAGCACTCTCAATTTTGACAGTGGAAATACCTTCAAGTTTCCCATTATTAAATGTTAAAATCATCCCAGGTTTCTTGTTTAAAAGAAGAGAAGCAGGTACACCTTGTGTATTAACCAATGGAAGTGGTCTTCCTGAAACAACATGTAATCCAGGCTTGTTAGCAATGTGCAATGGTACAAAAAAGCCTTTTGGAGTCTGAACAAATATAGCCTTTTTTGGTTCTGAATTCAGAAGTGGACTCTGTCTATATAAAGAACCTAAATTTTGTGTAGTGGCTCGTAGTTTATCTTTTACGAGCTGCTGTGTTATTATTGCATCTGACTGAGTCTTAAGTAATGTGCCAATACCTGAAATTCTAGGTGTCTTTTCTGAATCTCTCACATCTTGTGATATTGACAGATTCTGTTTTTCTTTTCCACTAAATTTTAAATTCTGATCATTTGTAGGCACATTAATCCCTATACCACCAGATGGGATTGGGAAGATGCCTTGTACTTTGAAGTCTTTTGAAGATTCAATTATTTTGCCTTCTCCCTCAAGTTTCTGAAATGACTGGTCACAATGAAGTGGCAGGCCTTTATCAGGAGTGATACTATTACTAGAGTCTTGTTTTACCTCAGATTTTGTTTTTAATCCATCCTGAAGTAACTGGTTTACTTCAGGTGGCAAAAATTCTGATGCCTGTTTACTCTGGAGAGAGAAAACAGATGTGATTCTAGGCATCATAGGTGACTCAACATTAGAAATGTCATCCCACTTAGATTTCTCAGTCATGCTCTCTAAATTCTGATTTTCATTAGTGTATAAGTTCTGCCCATCAATGTTTTCTCCTTTTTCTAAAACACACTGTTCTTCAATTTCAGTTTGCATTTTTAAAGTTCCATCTTTAGTATTTAAAAGGCTAATAGATGCTAACATGCTATCTGGATTTGAGCTCTCCTTCCTCACCAGTGATAAAACTGATTCACTTATTGGTTGTTGAACAACTGTCTTGCTTGATGAAGGTTCTTTTTGAGGGTTTTCACACATTCCTGTTCCTGAAAACCTACGACGTTTACTAGAATTATTTACTTTTGAGTAATTATGAAAGGGCAATGATCCTTGGTTGGAAGATTCAACAGGTAACTCAGAGTTGACATAATTAATGCAATAGTTATGCATATCTCCACTGTTGTATGCATTTTGTTTGGTAGTAGAGTTGACTTTATCTGGACTTTTAATGGTAGCACCTGATATCTCAGGGTGACTCTGAGTAATATAATTTCCCCAAAGGTCAATATTATCTTTTGTTTCAACTTTTGTGGTCAAATTCACTGATGCTGAAACCAATTCTGATGCTGACAAAGACACATTTTTTTCATCATCCATTGTCTGAAGCATATTACTCGTCTGAGATAGCAAAGCCATTTCTTTTTCTGACGTTACTTTCCCTGAAAGTATAGGAGATGAACATGAAAATGGAGTAGTTGCTTTCATGTAAACTGTGTCACTTAATTCAGCTGTTACTCCTGCTAAAAATCCAGGAGTGTCCAAAGTCTGGGGCTGCAAATTGGCAGTACTGTCCTTTGCAGCATCTGACTGTGAGCCTGGTAAATATAAATTCTGCTTATTGGTAGGTAACAATTTTATTACAATATGTTGTTTTCCATCCACCATCTTAAATCCCATAAAATCAGCACTGTAGTTAGCAGGAATTGTTATTCTATTATTTTTCACCATTAACACTGTAGGTCCTTGTACAGCAGTCTTCAAGAAACCTAGAGTAGAATTTGATCCCTCTTCAGCTCTATTACATTGCCCAGTGGACAGAAGAGTTGGCTTTTCTGACTCTGACTCAGCAGGTTTATCATTATTCTCACCGTGTGGTCTTTTATCCTTTTCTTCATTTAAATGCTCTTGAACAAGATGGCTCTGGTCTTCAGATTTAGCCTGTGTTTTGTTCACTTTTTTAAGCACTTGAGTGTTTTTTTCTATACTCCTGTCACTTCCATTGTTGATCTTCTTGCGTTTCCAGAACGTCTTCCTTGATGCATCTATTCTGTATCTTTTCAGTATCAGCTTAAGTCCTGCTGAAGTCTTTGCCATCCTCTTTTCATATTTGTCTTTTTCCAGTTTTTCTTTCGCATATAAGTGTTCTTTGTGCAAAGTTATAACATGTCTTACGAGGTGCTCTCTCCTAGCGGCACCATAGCTACAATATTGACAAGTGAAGGGAAATGTACCAGAATGAACATGAAGGTGCTTCTGAAGCTCTCCTTTGGTAAAACATACATGATGGCACTTACCACATTTATAATGGATTTCATTATGTCTATGAATGTGCTGAACAAATGTGCCAACATCCTGGGTGGAGAATTTGCACTTTTCACATTGAAAACTACCATTTACACAATGTGTGGATGCAAAATGTTTTGTCAAGTCTAATAAAGTATATACACTCTCATTGTTACAAATGTCACATTTTACTAAAGTGCTTCTATGTGTCCGTCTGTGTTGTTTAAATATCTGGAAGTCATTTGCTGAAAAACTGCACATTTCACAAGGATATGAAGGTAATTCACCATGGTGCCACATTTGAAAGTGTTTCTGCAAATCATTTGGACTATATCGAGTGCTATCTCGGCATTTTAAACAGTTGAAATTCAGTATTTTTGCAGACATTTTTAAACCCTCTTCTTCAACTCTCTCAGACTTATGGAGCAACATACACTCCTCTACACAGCTTACAGTCTTTACATTGATAGATTTTCTTGCAGTCTGTGGTTGACGCTGAAATAATTTTCTGTATTTGTCAACTTCATGTTTCAAAGAGACTTCATTTGGAATATTTATCTTCGGCAAATCAATTTTCACATTTTTTAGTTCATAATGAAAACTACTTTCTGAAATTTTTGGTCTAGGTACTGATCTGATAGTATCTACTATCTCATTTTTCACATCATAATCTTTTCTTAAAGTAGTTTGTTTTTCATCAAAAAATAACGGTTTCTGTTCAGATGGCATGATTTTACAAAAAAATCCCAACTTCTTTTTTCTCTAAAAACTGAAGTTACTTGTAATTTAAACAGGAAACAATACTGTGCCAAGACATCTTCAAAATACCAGAATTTTTCCAACATTAACTCACCTAAAATCAAACAAAGAATTGAATTTTCATATCAGTAAATTTCATATTTTAAAGTTCATTTTGATACAAAATAGGAATGTTGATCAAACACATCCATAAAAGATATAAAAGACCGGTTAAGTATTTTAAGAACAGCTTACCAAGAAGTAATAGCTTGATGCAGAAATAATACTAATCTGGAAGTCAGGAAATACAAGTTTTACTTCCAGCTCTGCTCTGTGACACTGGACAAGCTTCAACTTCTCTGAACCTCAGTTTTGTCATCTAAAGAAAACCACAATTGGGTAAGCACCCTTAAGCTCTAAGATTTTTATACTGAGTTGATATTACAATATTTAAGCAGGATTTACAAAATCTTAATGAGAACCATAAAAATTTAAGTTCCAATTACACACGTCTCCAATTACACACATGAACTATTAACTTCCTCATCTCCTTAGCTGACCCTCTGGCTATTACCTTGTGAGAAATTCAACAGGCTTCTCTCCAGTTTTTCTATTTCCCTAGTGCTTCAGAGATAATTTGTATTTAAAATGTAAGTTTCATTTATCTAACAACAACAATAACAGAAGACATTATCTGCTCTTTCAAGTTATCATTACTAAGTAAAAAGAAAAAAAAGAAAAAAGAAATGAAAAGGAATAGCACATTTTGCTGGGGTACTGTTAAAGTCTACCTACTACCTTTTTGGTCCCCAACCTTTTGGCTATTTGGCTTTTTGTCCCTAGAACTCAGGCAGAAGGCAGCAAGGAAAGCTCCTGGCATATGAGAATGCACCCATTACTATCTGCCACCATCAATTCCAACACTTACTGGTTTGTGTTACTCTAGACAAGTCTCAATCTCTGTCTTCGTTTCTTCATCTATAAAGTGAAAAAGAAAAATTAGTACTTTCCCTACCTTTCACAGGGTTATTGTAAAGATTAAATGAGAAAACATATGAACAGTATCCTGTACAGTGCTATATAAATTGTAGCTATCATTACTGTATGTGATTACCATGAAATGACACATTATGAGTTAAACTGCAAAGGAATAAAAAATAGTGAAGTAATAAGATGTGATAATATATTACTAAGATTGGAATCTGAGTACTGAAGGTTCAGTAAAATATCAAAATGTGTATTAGAGGAATTATGTTTTCTTACTTTTGTGATCTTAAATATGTATGTATGAATAATAAACAAAATTAGATAAGCTAAAGAAAATAAAGTATAAATCACATTGAACTTCATCTATAATGTCTAGTCAAAGGTCTCAGCTTTAAATTTCAATTAATCTAGGGACACCCGGCTAGCTCAGCTGGTAGAGCATGTGACTCCTGATCTTGGGTTTTCAGTTCTAGCCCCATGTTGGGCAGAGGAGATTACTTAAATAAATAAAAACTTAAAAAAAATAAATTTCAATGAATCTAAGTAACTAGATACTTTACTATTTCAGAAATCCTTTATTAAGGGAATACAATTAAAAGTTAAATTACGTATTAAGAGACTTTTAATCTCTCTCACACTCAGTAATTTTGGTTGGGTCTAAAAAACAATTCCTTTAGTAGTCTTTAAGTACATATATGCTAAACTGATAATGAATTCATTAGCAGGGTACCAGTTTACTGAAAATTTTTTTTAGTAGTGAAAAATCACAATTTCATTATTCAGTGCCACACACTGTGCTCTGACTCATATCATTTCTTCAGAGTTCATCTGCAAAAGGGTGGTAGGATGCTCAGGAACTGCACAAAATATGGAATGCATCACAAATTTGCGTGTAATCCTTTGCACAGGGGCCGTGTTAATCTCTGTATTGTTCCAATTTTAGTATATGTGCTGCCGAAGCACGCACTGGTTTTACATACTATGTCTAATTCAGTAAAATATTAAAATTTTTACTTAAAATGTTTTACTATATTATTTAAAGCAAAATGTAAATACTTTTTCTTCAAAAGTAAGAAAAACTAAATAAATGGCTAGAATAAAGTTCAATGACACCTGGCGGATATTCCACACCAACTAAGAAGATTCCCTACAGAGTGTCACATTCTGTATTATAATCACCGATGGGAGATTTCACCATACCAGAATCTGAGGGTGAGGTTCAAAGAGGTGAAACTTTTAAGCACAGCTATAAAGGTTTTCCATTTGCCTGAATACCATATTGTGGTCATTCTGGATTAACCATACTCAAGCCTTTCTATTATACACATAATCAAGAAACTATATCATGGGTTTTATTACAAAAGGGAAATTGCTTCTTGTAGTAATATTACATGTGTTCAAAAATATATGTGTAATGCTAAAAATAGATTGATACTATTTTTAAATATCAATTCCATTTCAAAATATCTACACAATTTAAAATTTTTCTTATAAGATAACACATACCCCAGAGTCTGACGACCAGTATAAAAATAGAATTTTAAATATCTCAATCAACTAACACTAATAAATGCCTACTATGAATGTGAGGCATTTTGATGGGTGCTGTGGATTCAAAACCACAGCTTACAATCTGAAGGAGAGAGGTAGGACATATACATTAATACACTGCTTATTCAGAGTTGACCATTCAGCAACCTCACCCTTACAGGACATGAAGAATAGAAAATAATTAAGTAGGATGCATGGCAGCCAAAACAGATGTCACAAAGGGTCACCCATTAAAGTGCATGTCCTTTCAACACAGGCAAAACAATGTTAATAAAAGGGACCTTACTAAGAAATCCACTTAGCTTTTACTAAGTTTGGTAACTGCTAAATAATTAATATTGAACATCAGTATTTTTTACATTTAATGAATGGCATGTACAATACAGTATTAGGGGAGTTTGTACTGGTAGTTTGGGGTTTGTTATTCACCCTCAAATTTTAAATTTGGAGAATCTATTTTGTCTTCAACTATGTTGAACCTGTAGTATGTGGAAGCAATCAATGATGACATCTGGTAGCAAATTATACTAGGGTTGCCACCTATGGGCAAAAAATGTGTTGTGAATTTCTCAGATAACAAAAAAAGGAAAAAGGAATTTTACTCTAATTTTAATCTTCCAACCTACTAGCTAACGCTCTTTTCACTACAGTTCAATCTTTACCCCACCAACAAGGATTACTGATTTTAAATCTCCCATTTAAACTACTGCCCTTTCTCTACATATTATTACCTCATAAGACTTAACCAACATCTCAAGCCTTGAAAGAATACTATTTGCATAAAGTATGCCCAGCCCCTTCAAGTAACCTGGAGAACTGCCTGCATCAAGGTGGCAACTTAAGCCATCTGATTTCCTTCTTCCAACTGCCCAATGAAACACAAACCAAAAAATAAAGTCCTACAAAATAACTAGAAACTAGAAAAACATTCCATACACATACTGCAAGGTGTTGGTAAGAAACAGTCCAGAGAGAGAAGAGTGAAAACAAATGCTAACCCACTGCCAAGCACCACTTTTAAAGAGGAATTTGACTAGGGGACATTCATTTAAAAAGCATTTAATAAGCATCTCTTATGCCCTAAGTAAGAAAGTAAAGGACATAAATCTGCCCAATCCCTCCCTGAACATACCTTGAGATTCTAGAAAGTGAGGACTTGAGAGGAAGATCATGTGGTACCTTCTGAGGAGATAGAAAGCTTGAGCTGAGGTATGGGAAGGAAGAGAATGAATCCAGAGTTTTGAGCTGGGTCCAGAGGCCGAGTTGAGACTTGTTAGCACCAGCTGTTGGGAAAAATATAAAGAGGAAATTATTTCTGAGCAAAGATAAATCTTCCTATATCCATGCCTATCTTCTGTTTAACAGTTCTGTCCTTTATCACATAAATAAATTATCTCTAAGTTGTCAGGAAAAAGTTACATTAACTTCCCCCCTCCTTTTAACTAAAACACTGAAAAAAATCTTGGTTCATTCTTTAAGAATTCATCTCAACTACCAAGGCCATCAAAAGTTAAGTAGGCAGAAACATCACTAGCTGCAGCAGCTCAACAAAGAGAAAATAACCTGTACACTCAGAGAAACCCCTCCCCATTCCCCCATCCAGCAATGAAAAATAGTAACTACACAAAAGTTACTACTACTGGAAAAAGGAGAAAGCTTAGGGGGGAATAAAATAAATCAAGTAGTAATTGGCAATTTCAGTAAGACCTGAGATAATATACAAAAAAAAGAAAACTAAGAACATACTGCCATGAAAGAGAGAACAAAGTAGATGGGAGAGAAATAATGATTTTGAAAACAAGAAAAAAATAACATTTGAGTTTTGGGTTTTTTTTTTAAAGACCTGAATTTTCAAAATCAAAGGCTCCTCAAATGCCAGGCAAGATTATTAGTGAGAAGAGAATATAAGACTCAATGTTTACAACTTACCCTAGTCAAATTTTTGGGTTTAAAAAATAAAAATGAAATGCTACAGGGGCGCCTGGGTGGCTCAGTCGTTAAGCGTCTGCCTTCGGCTCAGGTCATGATCCTAGGGTCCTGGGATCGAGCCCCGCATCAGGCTCCCTGCTTGGCAGGAAGCCTGCTTCTCCCTCTCCCACTCCCCCTGCTTGTGTTCCCTCTCTCGCTGTCTCTCTCTCTCTGTCAAATAAAAAAATGAAATCCTTAAAAAAAAATTAAACGCTACAAAAAAAAAAAATAGGTAGAGAGGGAGAGTTACCTAAAAAGGTATTTGATTTTTCATCAGCAATGCCAACTTTAATCAGAAATCAATATTAATCAGGCATTTTACTCACAATTCTAAGTGCTAGAAGACAATGGAATGACACAGAGTTCTGAGGAAAACACATTAACCCAAGAATTAATTCTATACACAGGAAAATTCATATGTAAAGGAGAAACACAATTTTAGATGTACAAAGATTTAGAGACTATACTACATAGGTACTCTTTCT